AGGAGCAAGGTCTGGTGTCTTTTCTTACGAGAGCACTAATCATACTGGATCAGGGACCCACTCTTATGACCTCATTTAACCTTATTTACCTTCTAAAGGCCCCATCTCCAAATACAATCCCCATTGTTACCCACAGTCTTAACAATCCATTGAGCCAACTGCTAAGTACACAGAAGAACTGATGCTAATTAAGCATACACAAACAAACTTAATTTAGAAGGCAAAATGCAATATTACCTGCATAGACATATTCGCCAGGGACTTATTCTTGGAGGTTCATGTCTTATTCATCTCTGTCTCTCGTAAAACTGAGCACAAGGCAGGTGATCAATGAACGGTTTTTCAAAGAATGACTTTGGTCTTGTAAATGCATATCTTCTTTATTAAAAAGTTAATAAAAGCTCTACTTCTGAGGCAGCTTGTTTCAGGGAAACAGGTACATTGAAGAGAAATATGTCAACTATCATTTATTAAACACTTACTATGTGCCAGGAAATATGACAAGAATTTTGTATGCAGTATATTGCTTATTCTTCATAGTAACCCATGGATATCAGTACCACTGTATGTCTCTTAGCTCGCATTTTGGAGAAGTTGAAAATGAAGCTCAGAGAGGTTGTGTGTATTTGCTCAGTCGTGTTCATCTCTTTGTAAAATGCCATGAAATTTGCTTTGAAACATGCCTCTCTCCATGAAATTTTCCAGGCAAGAACACTGGAGTGGGCTGCCATTTCCTACTCCAGGAGATCTTCCCCATCCGAGGATCAAACCTGCGTCTCTTGCATCTCTGCATTGGCAGGCAGGTTCTTTACCACTGTGTTACCTGGCACGTCCCTTTCCCCTATAAAGTTTGCAGGTGGTAAGTGGGAGGGAAGGCTGTTTTGTTCATTTGGCTCAAAAGCTAAATTCTTTGCCAGGTTCCACGCTGCCTCCTTGGGGCTTGAGGAGTCTAGCCATGGCCTGGCACAGCCAAAGCCTCTTCCTCATCTCACCCACATTGTCGTTGTCATTGTGAAAGTTGCTCAGTCGTGTCCGACTCTTTGTGACCCCATGCACTGTACAGTCCATACAATTTCCAGGCCAGAATACTGGAGCGGGTAGCCTTTCCCTTCTCCAGGGGATCTTCCCAACCCAGGGGTTGAACCCAGATCTCCCTCATTGCAGGCAGATTCTTTACCAGCTGAGTCACAAGGGAAGCCCAAGAATACTGGAGAGGGTAGCCTATCCCTTCTCCAGCGGATCTTCCACTGGAGAAATTGAACGGGGGGTCTCCTGCATTACAGGTGGATTCTTTACCAACTGAGCTATCAGGGAAATCCCATTTCACCTACACCTGGACTTTTAGTGGAGACTGCCCACTTAGGAGTCTATTTGGGTATTGGAGTTGATGTTTAGTGAAGATTAGGTAACATGCAGATCGCTGCTCCCACTGACTGTCGCTTTAAAATACTTTTAAGGTGGGTATCTTGTGTTCTTATGATCAGTTTCTTAATATAAATAATTCAGAAAGGGTGATAGAAGATTTCAATACACTTGAACTTACCAAAGGAGTCTTCTGATATCAGATTCTGAAGGAGTAGCTGGGGTTATGTAAATGGCCAGCATCCCGATGAGCTGGAGTTCACGGCCCCATCCACACTGCAGGGTTTAGGCTGAGCTCTCGTCCTCTAGGGACTGTGGGTAACTTGGAGTTATCTTTAACAGCGTTACTTCCAAGGAGACAGCAGGGGCAGAGGAAGATGATGGATGTGGGTTCAAAGCCAGGGCTGCCTTTTCCTAGTGGTGCAACCCTGGACCACAGACTTCATTTCTCTGAGCCTCCATTTCCTCATCTGCCAAATGGGGACCATGGTACCGACTTCCTGGGCTGGATTAAGTGAGATATTAGCTCAGCATTTATCAAGCATTCATTATGTGCCAGGGGCTTTTCTGCGCAATGGAAAGCCAGTGGTGAAGACCAAGTCATGGACACAATGGAGCTTACATTCTACAAGCCATGACAAGACCTTGAAAACAAAGCAAAAAAAAAAAAATCACTTCAAGGGGTAATAAGTCCAAAAAGGCATTATGGCAAGAAGATGCAGGGACACAGTGTTACTGTTTGCTTGGAGTGGGCGTTGAGGAGCTCTTCTGGGAAGCTGGGGTTTGAGCAGAGACCCAAGTTAAGTAAGGATGGGAGCTGATTTCAGGTCAAGGGGGCAGCCAGTGCAGCAGCTGAGGGAGGATCCCCCCACCTGGATGCAGGAACAGCAAGGACAGGTGGCTGACATGGTTTGAGGGGACAGAAGGACGAGTGGAAGAGGAAGAAGTGACATGAAGCAGGGCTGGGTGGTGGAGAGCTCCAGAGTTCAGGATGAGGTCTTGGAATTAGATTCTACAAGACAGTCGGAGACAAGTAAACAGCCTGATGTAGTAGGTGTCCACAGGCCAGTAGGACAAACAATTCTTCACCACCGACCATCTGCTGGACCCTCTGCTGGGCACGGGGACAGAGATGGGTTAACTATACTCCTCATTCTTCAGACCACCTAGTTCCTTTTCCTTCCTCTGCTCCCAGATTCTAGATCTTATCCTAAGAATGGAAGGCTGCCTGGGAGCGTTCCAGATCTTGAGCATTTTGCTCTCTTCTGGCATCAGGGTCTATAATATATCTGAATAATGGCCTAGCTGATAAAAAGTATTTATTTCCCCTAATCAGTTGCATGAAAAAACAACAGAAAGGAGAATTTCCTTTTTGACTGAACATTCTAATCCATTTTCTTTGAGGTTGAGATGCATTTACCAAGCCTGCACTGGAGATGTTGTCATTGCGGGGAAGTGAAGGGCCCTTGAGCACCAAGAGGAATGGAAACAGCCTTTCTTTCAGGTTGAAGCTTCAGAAGCACTTTGCCAACATCAGTGCAGTTTGCCTCTTACAGTCCTCTTGGTGGGGGTGTATCAGGATAGCAGCTTAAGTGTCAGGGGCTAAATACATTACTGGGGACCCTTATGTGCCTCGGGGGTGGGAGGAATAGAGATCCAAGGTCCCATGCAACACATTTCATCTAATCCCGACTATGCTGTGAGGTAGGGATCAGATACCATCCACATTTTGAAAAAAAAAAAAAAAAGGAACCCAATTCTAAGAGGAATAAAGTGACTTAGCTAAGGTCACACAGCTCAGAAGTGGGTGACCAAAAGTGCTCCCAATTATCCATAGGTTTGGCTTGACCAAACTTTAGTCAAGCTTACCTCTTTCCCACAGCTCTGAAATTGTGGCTGGTCTCCAAGTTTAAGCAGGAACCAAGGTGCAGAATTTGGGCTTCCCTGGTGGCTCAGATGGTAAAGAATCTGCCTGCCAATGCAGGAGACCTAGGTTCCATCCCTGAGTCAGGAAGATCCCCTGGAGAAGGGAATGGCAACCTACTCCAGTATTCTTGCTTGGAGAATTCCATGGACAGAGGAGCCTGGTGGGCTACAGTTCATGGAGTTGCAAAGAGGTGGACATGACTGAGCAACTAACACAGCTACAGCAAGATGCAGGACAACTGTTTCAGGAAACCGGCCACAAAGAGAAATCCTGTTATGCTTGTCAGCCTTCCCCAAAGTCCCTCTAAACACATTGCCCTGCACAGCCCTCACAAAAGAAAAGGCTTTTTTCTTTTGAATTTTGAGGTGCTTGAAGATCCTGAAGTCAAAGCATTTTTCTTACTGCAAAAGCCTTTTTGAATAAACTCTTTCCCATCCTAAGTCCAGATTTGTTTTTCACTTGCTACAGTTGAGCTAAAATTTGAACCCAGGATTCTTTAAACTTTCCAGTTTACTCAGGAGTTGGCATAATTGCAAATATATACTTCTGTGTGGAATGCTGGGACGCGCCGGTGTGTTTTCTTCTAGAAATCAAACTAGAAGTGATGTTGCTGATCACACGATCAGATTAGAATCTGACTCTATTATGTGTATGCTGGTCATCAAACCTAAAAAATATATAAGGAATCCTGACACCTGAAACTAACACAATATTGTAAATTAGCTGTACTTCAATTAAAAAAATAATATATAAAGAATCTTAATGATATCACCCTTTTTTTTGTTTGTTTCTAGGAAAGCACACTTCTCTTTGTTCATTTGTCTTTTGACCACACAGACCAGAAAATGTATGATATTTTAGGGAAAGATTATGGGAAACAAACTCAAGTGTGAGGCAATCAATATAATAGACATATTTTTGTGAAATATATTGGAACTACCTTATTTGAATTCTGCAGAGTTGAATAAAGAAACTGGTTTCCTGAGCTCATTAAGCACAGTTTCTGGGTTGGCAGACTTGTTATAGTGGGAAGGGACATGAATCAGAACCAGATGGATCCGGGTCTGAGTCCCAGCTTTGCCATTTGCTGACTGTGCAGACTTGGGCAATTTCCTTGGTTCTTCAGTCTATAAAATCCTTCCCATTTTTCCTTTTATAGTGAGGCGGAATTATAATCATGCATGGGGCGTGATGCATAATACTTGCTCAATAAACTTTAAAAAAATGTAGGAGAAGGGATCCATTTTGGGGGGGAAGTACTGTTTAACATTAAAGAGATTTTGCAGAGCAGGGGAGACATTCTGATAAACCACAACAACCCAGGGTTTGAGTCTACTTACTTGCATGAAAATGTCTTTTGTCTCAACTTGTCCAAAGGGTTGACTTTCCCAGCATCTGCTCTTAGCACCTGCTTGCCACACAGCTTGTTGCCTTTACCTATAGAAGCTTATGGTGAACTCTTCAAAGGGCAGGGCCAGTACTCATGTCACAGCTCTCAGCACAAATGGCTCTGAATGCCTGACTGGTGATGGGATCATTTGAGTTGAGAGTAGGGGTCCCTGGTGGCTCAGTGGTAAAGAATCCACCTGCCAATGGAAGAGATGTGGGTTGCATCACGGGGTCAACCTCAGGAAGATCCTCCAGAGAAGTAAATGTCAACCCACTCCAGTATTCTTGCCTGGAAAATCCCATGGACAGAGGAGCCTGGCAGGCTACAGTCCATGGGGTGACAAAAGAGTCAGACACGACTTAGCAACTAAACAACAACAGGAGTTTGATAGCTGAAGAAGCCACCAGTCATTTAACAGGCAAGGACCAATAGAATCAAAATCACTTTGCTGCAGTTTGGTCCTCAGAAAGGTGTGGGTGTGGCTAGGGCTGTCACTGTTCCCAGTGTCCATGCTCCCCTTCTTTTTGTTAAAAATAACACACCCCTAACTTTTCTGTGGGCACATAGCCACCCAGCTATAGACAGGATTTTGCAGACTCCCTTGATCCCAGCTGTAGTCATCTGATTAATTTTGCATCAGTGGAATGTGTAACCTCCCTGTCATTTCTTCAAAAAGAAAGAGCTTACTTCCTGTGAAGCAAAGCACTGGCAATCATTCAGCTATGATCATGGAGGTGATATGCTAGGTGCTGCTGTGGCAAGAACATGGGAGGAACCTGGGCTTCTGTATGATTTTGTGGAACACAGCTGCCCTTGTCACTTGGACCACTCATCTTTGACTGTTAGGTGAGAAAGAAGTAAGTTGCTATTTTATTTAATTGGCTATAATTTGGGGCTTCTTTTTTTTTTAGGTTTTTCTACTTTTGCTTTTATTTATTTATTTATCTTTCCATTTATTTTTATTAGTTGGAGGCTAATTACTTTAAAATATTGTAGTGGTTTTTGCCATACATTGACATGAATCAGCCATGGATTTACATGTGTTCTAATTTGGGGCTTCTTTATTGCATGACAACAGCTTAGTCTTTAATATTTTGGATCTCAACCTGGACCAAATCTGGAGGAAGAGTCACTTAGTTCATTTAGTTTAGCTCCCAGGAGAAGAGAGAAAAGGGAGGAGTAGGAGAAGCTTGGTCTGCAGAGGAGGAGAAAAGCTGCAGGTCCCTCAATTTATTCACAGCAAATTCATAATTTTGTCAATTTATTAATCCACAAACACTTCTTGAGCATGTACCACAGCATCCACCCAACTCACTCAGCTGTAGTTTCTTCCTCACTCCATTTTCTCCATCTCACTTATCACAATCAAAAATTACATTATCTATCTTGAGTGCAGTAGTATTTACCAGAAGGTAAATTTATGGCATCATAGAACGGAATGTTAGCAAATTTTGCAAGAAGAAATATAATGTGAGAAGTTAGTGAATCCATGGGAACTGGTATAAATCATCATGACTGTGTGAAGAAATAGACAAAATATAAGAGGGAATTTGAAACACAGCATAAGTCTGCTTTCTGATGAGCGCAAGGTGAGGTGAGCCCTGAACACAGGTAGGGGGTTGGTAAGATGGGGCAGAGGAAATAATGGCAGCTGGAATGGACTCATCTCCCACAGTTCAGTGGGTTGGGTCTTGGGGCCCATTCAAATAGTAATGAGAAAAGTCTTGTGCAGTTGGAGTAAATAACAATGAAGGGGGATAACTTTTTAAGGTTAGTTGAGGGGGAGAGGATTGAGAGGAGGCATTCTGCAGAATGAGCATAAGGATAATACTGGATGGTTCAGAGAAGAGATTGACCTGGAACTTCTGAGGTCTTATCTCTCCCACTACATAACTCACAGTCAGTCACAAGAAGTCAGTTATTGAAGTCTATGTAGTCTCCCGTGGTTAGTCTGTTGACCAGATGCCCAGGGAAGATAAGCTATGTGAGGACAGTTTATTACCTATTCATTGTCTGTCTCCCTCATTAGAAGAAAACCTTAATGAGGGTGAGGACCTGGTCTGTCTGCTTCATAGCTTTCTCCAAAGCACCTAGAACAAAGCCCGACACATAATAGTAATTCAATAAATAATATTTGAGTAAATCAATAAAGTAAGCAGACAAATAAATAAAACAGCATCCAGTTCCAATAATTACAAAGCAGAAAGATATGGCTACTTTGACATGGACAAAACAGAAGAAGGCTTCCTTTAGGACAATGGATGCGGAAATAATTTAAGAAGAGAGGGCCTCCCAAGTGGCGCTAGTGGTAAAGAAACTGCCTGCCAATGCAGGAGACACAGGAGATGTCAGTTCGATCCCTGGGTGGGAAAGATCCCCTGGAGGAGGATGTGGCAATCCACACCAGTGTTCTTGCCTAGAGAATGCCATGGACATAGAAGAGCCAGGAGGACCAAAGTCCATGGGGTCACAAAGAGTAAGATATGACAGAAGTGACTTAGCACACACATGCCAGAAAGAAAAAGAGTCAGCCATGCTGACAGTGGGGAGAAAGCCATTTCAGGAGAAGGAACAGCATGTATGAAGCCCTCCAGGTGGGAGAGAGCTTGGCATGTTCCAGAAACAGAGAAGACTGGTCTGACTTCAGGGAGAGTGACATGAGCAGAACTGGGAGAGGTCAACAGAGGCTAGATCTTTAGGGATAGTGGCTGGATTTTATTCTTAGATAATTTACTCCCATTCTATGTCTAGGGAGATATAATCCAATTTTGCTTCGGGGAAAGTGTGTGGAAACTGGATTGGAGGCAGGCAAGAGTGTAGGTGAGAGAATCACCCTCATATTCATGGCTTAAGACAACACTTATTTATTATTACAGCTCATGCCTCTGTGATTTGTTACTCATTGACTGGCCTAAGAAGGGTTCCCTGTTGATATTAGATGGACTTGCTCATGCTTTTGTGGATCTTCAGGGGTAGGAGTAATGGGTGCTCTGTTTGAACCTAAGCTGATCTGGATTAACTAATCTGAGACAGCTCGGATGCAATGATGCTCCTCTTTTTCCTCCTGGGTGAGCAGGTATGTTCTCCTCATGGTCATAGCAGAGGCACAAGAAGCAGAAATCATATAAGAGCAATTCAAGACTCTGCATAACATTTGTTAATATTCTTTTGGCCAAAAAATGTCCTGTAGGGACATGGAATTGTGCTTTAGCGTATGGGGAGCGCTGCCATCCAAAAGGTGTGGACACCATGAAGGGTGAGGAATTGGGCCATGGTCGCAGTCTACCACAGATGCCTCTCATGCTTCTGGCTGGCTAGTATCCATGACAATTTCCCCTCTGGTCCGCTCCAAACAATTCTTCCCTTCTCCACCCGCAGGACACCCCTTCTGTTTGCTTATTCTTGGAGCTTCCGATAGGAAGGACACAGCAGAACTAGAAACCCACTCATGCAGTTTGGCCTTTCTGTGGAGAATGGGAGGGTACAGGGACCCCGCCCTCTACCTTCAGTGGAAGTTTCACCCCTTGGAGTTTGGCTCTGAACCAACGGGACTGAGAACGGTTGTAGATTCTGGCTACAATATTGTGTGGGCTGACGCTGATTGAGGAACACACAACGTGCAGGTTTACAAAAGCAATTGAGAAAGGCCTTGGCCGAAATGCAGAGAATATCTGCAGCTTAAATGCTGGAGCGATTATATCATTTGTGGGGCTTTGCAAGCTAATTTGTTTGCTGCCTTTTCAATTTGCCATTCAGTTTCCATGGTTTCACGGTTGGTCAGAGATGGAATATTTAAATCCAATAGATAAAGCCTGGAGTTGAGGAGCTAAAATGGCTGTGGAATTGTTTTATAGCACAGACCAGTGGAAAGATGACCGTGTAGGGAATGGAGAGAGTTAGAGTCTGGTCCTGGCTTTGCTGCCTTCATGCCAAAATCCTTCTCTGTACCTCAATTTCTCCATCTGTGATATGGTGTGAGCTCTTCGGCAGCTCCGCCCTGGTTCTACAGTAACAATAATGGTAATGATAATAAATAGAACACGAGTAATAGCTAGTGTCTTTTCAGTGATTACTTTGTGCCAGGCATCATTTGAGGGCCATATGTTCATTTCATCCACACAATAAGCACAAGAAGTGAGTGAAAGTGAAAGTGTTAGTTGCTCAGTCCTGTCTGACTCTTTGTGACCCCATGGACTGTAGCCCACCAGGCTCCTCTGTCATGGAATTCTCCAGGCAGGAATACTGGAGTGGGTTGCCACTTCCTTTTCCAGGGAATCTCCCGACCCAGGGATCAAACCCAAGTCTCCAGCATTGCAAGACTGGAAAGAAGATTCTTTACCATCTGAGCTACGATTCTCACAATAAGCACAGGACAGGAAGATGCCATTACTCTGCCCATTTCAAAAGGTCATGAAACTGAGGCTTGCCCAACGTTACACAGCTAATAGTGCTAAAACTGGAGTAGGAGCTACATCTGCCTTATTGCAGATCCTAGGGTCTTAATCCCTATATTCCCTCTCTCCAGGATTCTATTCTCCCTCATGCTATGCAGTGGAACTTTCTATTGGAAATGTCCTGCGTATGCACTGTGAGTCTCTGGCCACTGGTTGTATGAGACTGTGGAGCACTTGAAATGTGGCTAGTGTGACCGAGGGATGGCGTTCTCTTTTTTTAAAAATTATTTATTTATCTGTCTTTGGCTGCGCTCGGTCTTCGTTGCTTTGTGCAGGCTTTCTCTAATTGTAGAAAGTGGGGGCTACGCTTGGTTGCTGTGCATGGGCTTCTTTTTGCGGTGGCTTCTCTTGTTGTGAAGCAAAGAGTCTAGGTGTGCAGGCTTCATTAGCTGCGGCACACAGACCCAGTAGCTGTGGCTCTCGGGCTTAGTTGCTCTGCAGCATGTGGAATCTTCCCAACCAGAGATTGAACCCATGTTGCCTGCATTGTGCCACCTGGGAAGTCTGAAGGATGGCATTCTAAATTTTATTTCATTTTTAATGCTTTTAACTAGCTTTTTAGAGTCACATGTGGCTGGCAGCTCTTGTGTTAGAGCATGAGAAAGAAGGGACTTGGGCAAATGCAGTGTAGCATAGTGTTTAAGCGAAGGACTCTGGACCCATTTTCTGGGCATATATACCCATTCTGCTGCATATATACCCATGCTGGGGGCATGACCTTGGGCAAGTTACTTATCCTCTTCATGCTCTAGTCTTCACATCTTTAAAAGGGGATAATGATGGGTCGAGGGTGAGAACTGAATAAGTTAATACACTTAGAACAGTGTCTGGCACATAATAAGAGTCATACAAGTGATCATCTGTGTGATTGCACCCCTAGGTGAGAAGATGAGAAAGAGAACCTGATACGTATTTGCTGCTATTTAACTTGATCCCCACAAAACAGTGCAAAGTAGTGAAACGGGCAGTGCTGGAACCTGGCCCCATCCCTCAGATCCCTCTCCTGGCTCCGAGTGCCCACCCCAGTCACTGTGCGCTTTGCTGCTACAGCTCACACCCGCCCCTGGCACCTTAGAGAACGGTCCTTGGAGGCTGCAGCCTTCTTGATCACGGGGAGAGTGGACCTGCCTGGGAGTCTGTCTCACCCCCACCCCCAGCAGCTTGTAGTGGGTGTCAAATGCCCAACTCCTCTGCCCCCAGGGCTTCAAGGAGGTAATTAAGGTTGGATGAGGTCGTAACGGGTGGTAACCTGATACAGTAAGATTGGTGGCTTACAAGAAGAGAAAGAGAGATTGTTTACTCTATCCATACAGGCGAAGAAGAGGTTATGACTCAGTGAGAAGGCAACCGTCTTCAAGTCAGGAAGAGAGCCCTCACCAGAAACTGAACTAGCCAGGACCACGATCTGGGACTTTCAGCCTCCACAACTGTGAGAAAATAAAGCTTTGTTGTTTAAGTCAGTCTTTTCAAGATGGCAGACCCCACTGGCAATCCTTAGCCATCTAGTCCCACCTAATGGCCGAGGAGGCTGTGAAACATAGCCTGATTGTTGTCCCAGAGTGAAAGGAAAACAGATTTGATGGACAGCTGGTTAGCTGCGGTGTAGCCCTTAACCCCTCCCTGGGCTTCCCTGCTGGCTCAGTTGGTAAAGAATCTGCCTGCAATGTGGGAGACCCAGGTTTGATTCTTGGGTGGGGAAGAAGATTCCCCTGGAGAAGGAAATGGCAACCCACTCCAGTATCCTGGCCTGGAGAATTCCATGGACAAAGGACCTGGTGGGCTACAGTCCATGGGGCTGCAAAGAGTCAGACACAACTAAGCGACTTAGCATGCAGCCTTTAATCCCTAACTGTCAGGAAAGGTTAAAAGAGACTTGTGCTTTTGAAAGACTCTACTTTGTGGCCAATGGGTTGGAGTGAGTTTTGTTTTCTTTTGTTTTGTCAGAGAATTGTTTTAGAATCACTTAATATGTAAGTAAAGAAAACTACAGGAGGGAGGATCTAGAAATATGAGTTGGGAAAGATCTGATTCTATATTGGATTCTGTGTGTGCTGACTAATCATGTCTGCTCAGAAAATGAGCTGAAGGCTGGTGTCATCAGTCAAGTCATAATGAATGTGATCTCCAAAGTCCAGAATGGTCCAACCATTGATATTTCTCCTGTTTTACCTCCTGGCCCCTTCCCTCTCCTTCTCAGTACTCCAGCCACACAGGCCTTTTGATTCTCCGAAGAATCCCTCTGCAATGCAGGAGACACAGGAGATGCAGGTTTGATCCCTGGGTTTGGAAGATCCCCCAGAGAAGGACATGGCAACCCACTCCAGTATTATTGCTTGGAAAATCCCATGGACAGAGGGGCCTGGCAGGCTACAGTCCAAAGGTTTGCAGAGAGTCAGACATGACTGAGCAACCAAGAATACACACACACGCTCTGTGACATGCCTAACATAATGCCTTTGGACAAGCCTTTCTATGTCCTAAAATGTACAGACCTCCTGATGCTCCCACTCACCTCAAGTAGGAGGCAGGCAACATTCCATTTTCCTTAAATCATCTTTTCCTTGGCCTTCTTGCCTGATGGGGTGGACTTGGTTCTAGTGGTAGGAAATATTGCCTGTGGGTTAAAGCTTTTATTTTCTATGGTGGATAAAATACTGTTTACGCCTACAGCCCACCTAATGCATATGCCTTGTAATAATTTTAATATACAAATTAAAGAGCAAAAGTTGGCCAGCTTTGTGCTTTTATTAACTACAATTTCTAGGCATTATTACTTTTTCTTTGTTTCATGCCATTATTTCCTTTCAGTGAGAAATCTGCTTAGTACATTTATTTGCTTTGGATAATAATAGGGTTCATATGCGTATGTGTGCCACTTAAAAGATTGTGCCTGGGTCAGGTTGGCACTTACAGAAATTTAAGATAATGTTTTCTTTTCTTTTTTTTTTTTTGCTAAATTCCCCCCATACACTAGCACATTACAGTTCTCAGACCACTTTGCCTGATGCTATTAATACTTTTCTATAAAGTCACTCAGTGGTGTTTCTGGCCAGAGATTTTTTTTAGTGGAGGTGGAGGAAATTAAAAATTTAACAGAACCAAACAAATATTTATCAAACACCCATATTTTCTTATTTGAACTCCCTTTAATCTCTTTGAAAGGGCATTGTATTTCTCCTTCTGTTTTCATCTCTATTCTTCCTTCTGTGTTTCCTTTTGCCATCTTCTGAAGCCTCTGTTCCCAGTACAAAAAAGCAGAATATGTAGTATTTCCTTGTGGCAGTAGTTTGAACTCTGAGTTGCGCTTTTTTCTCTATTTCCACCAAGATCACTAAGAGTAAAGATGCCACCTTACCCAGGACTCATCCCAAAGAAGACCCTCTGGAGTGTAAGAATAGCTGATTTGTGTCCCTTTCTCTCTCAGAGAACAAGTTGAAGATGGCAAGCGCCACTTTTGAGAGAGGTCATCCTATTCCCTCCTTCCCACTTTAAAAGGGAAAGTGTTGGGGGAGCCACCTTCTCCATGAAGAGTGGAGGTTCCAAAGCCAGCTCTGGCATCTGCTTCCTGTCTGGAAACTAAGTGAAAGCTGGTGGCTCACATAGAGACTGCCTGTGAGCTGGCATGAAGTGACCGCGTGGGGGAATGGCTGAGAAGACAGCACACGGAGGGCACGGTTGCCGTGGCAGAGTACACTGCCATTCTGGTATTTCGTCCTCTGGCCTCCACACTCTGACCCAGTGACAATGCTGTTTATCTCAGACCTGAAGCCGGAAACAGAGCTTTCCAGCTGGTCCACAGACCCGTGAGTACGATAATAGCTGCTTATTGCAGTAAGCCACAGGTTTGGGGTATTTGTTACGTGGCTGTGTTGTGGCAAGAGCTAACTGATACAGCTTGTCAGGGCCTGAAGTGAGGCAAGGGAGTAGGAAGGGCCAGGGCTAGCTCAGACCCCAGGATACTTCCTGGTGGAGTGAGAAACCAGTATTTGGGAAAGGAAGGATGCTCTCTTGATAGGGTTACCCATGGCAGGAGGCTGCATTGAACACCCTGCTGGGGCCCGGGGGGAACATGAAACAGTCCCTGAAATGGATGCAGTAGCTGGATGTGCCCAAGTCTGTTACCCCTTGCTGCGGAGGTGGAGGCAGCATGGAGACCCCTCACGGGAGCAGGGTGTGTATCTGGCAAGAGGAGCTGAGCTGGATAGTTACCGTATTTGATGAGCAAGGAGCCAGGGAGTATTTTAGGTGCTGTGCATACAATAGTAAACATGACCTGCCCTCTTACATGACCCTGCCCTCTTACAACTTACTTTCTATTTACTCATGATAATAAAATTAATGATAATAGTCATACCTATGTTAAGTTGAATACATACATGAAATAAGGCTAAGTCTTAAAACAGAAGTGACTGGAAAAATGACTAGACAGGGCTGTGTGGGCTGGATTGGACTAAATTTAATTTTCTCACTGTCAAGTAGGAATAGAGGCTTGTTAAAATAAAGAATGGGCAGTATAAAACTGAAGTGGGCTTAGATGCTCCTGTGTATAACCTGTGACCATCCGGATCTAACTGTGATGCCGGCACACACACGTTCCTGTATCCCTGACTGTATCTCTGCCTCCTGTCCTCTCAGGGGTAGTGAGGGGCTGCCTATTCCCTAAAGATGCCTCTTCACCTGTCACCCCCATGAGAGGCCGTGTGTGTCACTATGAGCTGTAGAATGTTCCCCTGGCTTCAGATCATTGCCCTCCCCCACCTCCATCTTGGTGTAGAAGCCCTTCTGCTGAGATTCAAGGTCTCTCCGACACTGCCACCCCCCATCTTTCCTCATGATGGACATTTCTCAACCTCCTGGTCCCTCTTCTACCCTCCTGAAGATGCTGACTTGGGGGCTTCCTAGAAGCATCCCTTCCTACCATTATCAGGAAGACCTGATGCCTATGAGAATGGCACTTCTTTGTACCTTCCTCTCATTTATCAATGACTTTCTCCAATTTAGTGATCTTCATCTCCATCAACCTCAGGTACTCAGCTCCCATGGGAGCTCACTCAACTGTATGTGTGACTTTTCTCTTTATCCTCTTCCCACCCCAGCCCCCTTCCCTCCCTCCCTTCCTTCGTTGGGTATCAATGCACTGCCCTTTGGGGATACAATGGTGATAAAAACAGACACATTCTGTATCCTTGAGGGACCCTCAAGGGATCCTTTATTCTTTATGTTCCCTCCTTTTGCTCCTGCAGTGAGACACCTGCTCACTGACTTCTAGTTCTGAGACTCCCATTAGCCCTTGGAATACAAGGTGCATTGTCCCAATCATTCCCGTATTTAGTCTTCACATTAATCCTGCAAAGCATGCTCTGCTACTGCTTTTATGACAAATAATAGCTAACCCTTATATTATTAGTGATTCAGAACTGCCAGCACTGCCTGAAGGTTTCCACATACTCAGTAAATTCTCACAAAGCCCTCTCAGGTCAACATTATTGTTATCCTCATTTTACTGATGAGGAAACTGAGGTACAGAGAGCTTTTGTAAACTACCCAAGGTCTCACTGCAGGATGTGATTCTGGAGCCGGGGTGGAGGGGCAGCAGGCGGCTGTAGTGTGGCATGGGATTTGAGGCTTGGGGAAAACGTTGTGGGAAGACAGGGTGGGGAGAGGCCAGGAGTGGAATGGTGAGTGAATGCAGGGTGGCTCTAGCCATATGCAAATCATTCTGGGAGAAAAGAGGGTCAGCACGGGTGGGTGAGGTGGGCTATGAGGGAAATGCAATCACCCTCCACCCCATGCTAAGCTGTAATGCCACAGTCGAATAATTCTGATGAAGGAGGCAGTTTTATCTTTCTCAGGAAGCTTGGAAACACTTAAAAACCATCTTGCATTAAGGGCCTCTGAGGCTTATCCTATTTGAATTAGAAAAATGCATGGGGTCTCCAGCCTGTGAAATCCCAAAGGCACCTTCCATCTGCCTCCCAGCTCACTGCTTCTCTCTGTAATGTGAACTACAGTCATCAAACAATACTTGGCCTTTATCTATCCGGAGAGTTCACTTCTGTTTCTTCAAATTTCTTTCCAAGGAGCTGAAAGCTATTAATAGAGCCAATGGTGGTAACTCGGAAGGTTGGCGTTTGCTTTTCATTTTCATTTGAATCATAAACTTGTGGCTTGTACTAAAGTTAAGAACAATTGGAGATAAATTGCCAAAGAATTTGTGAATCAGAAAGCAGATTAGTTTAAAATCTGCTTGTTATTTCGGTTGTAAAAACAGAAGACGAGTCACTGGTCCGTCTGTATTCTGCGGACCAGGGTTGTACATTATCTCTCTAGCATCTATTGATATCACAGATGTAATTGCTGAGTAGTACCTTGTAAAACTGTCTACAGTCTCTTCCCCCCACTAGATTCTAAGTGTAATGACTCTCTCTCTCCCTTTTAGTACAATTTTCCAGTGTCTGGCATATAGAGGTTGGTCAATAAATATTTGTTAAATATGAGAAACGGATGAATGGATGAAGCTAAATGAAATCCAGAGCTGCTGGGGCTGATGGCGTCCCTGTCTGCATTAACTCTCTCTCTATTCTGGGTTTCTGTGCTTGGTGTGGGGCATGATGAATAGAGCATTCTGGGAAGGAAGTGCTTATTTCTGCTTGGTTGGGCTTGGAAATCAGCTCGCTGGGGTCCTGGCAGCGCAGGCCCCTCCAGTGGGGAGGAGGGTGTGGGAAGCAGGCAGGGCTAGAGCTGGGGAACTGGACCTGGTCACAGAGGTTGGCTCCAGAAGGGAACAGCTGGGACATCCAGGTGTAGGGTCTGGGGGCTGCACCTATCTTAGACCCAGGTTTGGCAGTGGGGTTTATTGAAGTAGTTGAACAGGTGTGTGGCCAAGAGCAGAGGAGTTTGGTGGAAGTTAGTGGTGAGTTGTACATTGTGGTTGGGACTGACTCAGTTGGCAGCCCAAGACAGGGCGGGCAGGTCCGGGACCAGATTGGAGCAGACCAACAAATATTAGAAATGATGTGAAGATACTGTAAAGGATGAGGTGTGGTGAGCCCCAGATTTTGAAAGGAACTGGCATATAATGTTAGATTCCCTCATGGCTCAGTGGTAAAGAATCCGCCTGCTCATGCAGGAGATACAGGAGATGCTGGTTTGATCCCTGGGGCATGAAATATCCCCTGGAGGAGGAAGTGGCAACCCACTCCAGTATTCTTGCTGGGAAAATCCCAGGGGCAGAGGAGCCTGGACAGCTTTAGTCTGTGGGGTAGCAGAGTTGGACATGACTGAGCGACTAAGCACTCACACATGGCATATAATTAGGGCCACCCAGCAAACTGGAATATGTATCCAGGTAAAGCTAGAATAGACCGCTAGAATGGGGGAAGGGATGCTATAGCTTGGGAACCTAAGGCTTCATTAATTCAGTGGTCAAGATTCTGAATCTGACAAATGTAATCTAAATCTAAATTATAAAATTATGCAGAGAGAGGAGATTATAATTATGTGATCTCTTTCTTTTGGGTCTGGCCAAGGCTTGACCCTGAAGATCATTTTATTGAACTAGAGAGAGTTGGTTCCCATCCATGGGAGGACATTGAGCTTCAGAAGTCCTATACTCTGGAGAAGGGGTTCTCAGACCTGGTCCAAGAATGATAGATGTTAATTAAAAATAGGATAGCTAGGGGTGGGCTAGGAAGAGCCTAACTCATCTAACCCATCTCCCTTTTCTTTTCTCCCCAGATAATGTCTAAACAACTCCCCCAAGGCACTCCCAGCCCAATCCAGTCCTGCTATGTGAATTTTGACCAAGTTCATGCAGGCATAACTTGACCACAACTCACTGAAGTCTAACGCCGTCAGCCTCTTGCCTCCTGCCCAGAGCTTTCCTGTTGAGTCCAATGGGTCAGGTGCCTGAGTCAACTCTTATCAGGATATAGGATGTAGGTAGGAGCTAGGGGATACTCCTTCTCTTTCCTCTGCCCCCCAAGTAGACCATCCTGAGATGCTCTTAATACGACTGATTGGAAGATGGCTCTGCAAGGGAGACAAACCTATTGTCCTTAGCATTGGCCAGCTTATACCCTTCTTGGCTTATTCTCCTCTGACTCAACCCCTCTCTTGGTTTCTCATGTTCCTGGGCCTGTGTCAGGAAGCATTTAACAAGAGGCTTCCTGTGTGCTGTTTTGGATCTGTCAGGAACCCTCTGGCCCTTATTAATTCCTGAATATTCAGGAATTAAGAGGAGAGGCACACCTTTCCCGGGGCTGAGGAATCCAGGCATTTCTCACTCTGGTGATAAGTACCCTCTTCCTTTTTATGAACCATACGGTAAAAGGTGATTGTTTCCTACTCTCTCTTTGATAGGGATCATCTTTTGTTTTATAAGTCTGGAATTTTAATCTTTATCTTTGCTGAGAATAACCACCTTGTAAGACAGTATATATGCACACACCATGTTGATTAAAACAACTTTGCTCCATCAGAGCTTGGGTCCCCGTGTCTTTCTTTCTTTCTATTCTTTTTGTCTTTCTCTCTTTCTCTATCTGTCTATTTCTGGCTAATTCCTTGGAGCCGGAGGCCCGCTGAGCTCACTTTCTTGCCCGGGCTTCTGAGACCCTCTGGAGAAGGCGCACTGTGCCTTCACCCACTCGAGGGGGCGCCCGGTGCCTACGCGCAGCAGCGTGAGCCCTAAGAACAGGGCTCTTGGCTTTTCACGTAAACCAGGGGATATCAGCCTCTTTCTCTCTCTTACTTTCTTATCATCGACTCCGGACCACCAGGTTCCGGTCCATTAAAGGACCAACAGGCCTGCACCCCTTAGTTGAGAAGGAGTGCCCATCAGTGACAGCTGTGAGTTGTTACTAATGTTTTTCAGGGTGAATCATGGGTGGCCACTCATTGGCTGTGGTGTCCTCATTTCCTTTTCCAGATCCCCTGGGAGTGACAGAGGACTTCAGATTCCCTGGGGGAGGGCATGGCACCCCACTTCAGTATTCTTAGCTGGAGACTCCCCATGAACAGAGGAGTCTGGTGGGCTGCGGTCTATAGGGCTGCAAAGAGTCGGACAAGAGGGAAGCAACTGAGCAGGCAGACAGGCAGACTCCTTCTATGGAAAATAGAATTTTGTTTTAGGGCAAGCATTCTTCTTGCCTGTCACAAGATGTATGTTTTCAAAAGGTATTGCATAAATGGTTCAGAACCTCAAGAGATGGACATTGATCAGAAAGTTAAAAAAAATTCAAGTAATATTTGTTTTTTACTCAAAATGCTATAAAGTAAAAATCAATTACTACCAGCTCCTTGATGGTGAAATCTCCTCCACCTGAGGAGACCTGGAGACCACTCTCCATTTTGGGAGGTGGGAGTGAAGGAGTCTTCTGGGCCTAGAAGAGAGAACAACAGTCTCAAAGGCCCCTTGCTGAATCATCTAACTTCAGAGAAAACAAAACAGAATTTTAGTTCCACCCTGATGCTCCAGGCCGGTTGCATCTATCCGGGACTCATCAACCTCTGTCCAGAAACCTTCCAACCCCTACACCTGCCCAGAAGACTTATCAACTCCTGTCTGGGAACTTTGCACCCCCTACACCTGCCCAGAAGACTTATCACCCCCTGCCCAACTACAAATGTTATCTTAACAAAAGAATACTCAAAATATCCCGCCTGATTAACGTTTCCCTTATCGCTTCCACAAACCTCCCTATAAGTATGACGCCTCCCTGATCCCTCTAGGCGCTCAGCCTGGTTGTCAGGCCGACTGTCGCCCCTCCTTGCCTGAATAAAGGTAACTTACTTCTGTTGAGGTTGTCTTTCTTTTTCTGCCTCTCTGGAACTATATCCTACAGGGAGTGGGGAGATAAGGGGGCAGGGAAATATGAGCTGATGATGTCTTTTGTTTTTTGGGACCCTGAAAGATAGGGCTTCCTTTATTCTGTTTTTTCTTCTAAATCACTTGCTATAACTTATATAAATGATCTCCTGGGAACAAAACAGCTTAAACTCTCCTGGAATCCACTCACCCATTCTATATGTTCAGATATGGAGGATGGATCATCACATGCAAATGGCCAAGAAGCCTTTTAACAGAAGGAGTCAGAATTATCCAAATTTCCTTTGGCACCAAAATCTATTTAGGAGTTGAGATGGTAGCAGCAGAGAGAATATGAACAAAACCAGTGGCAGGAATTGCTCTTTTTTAAGCATGTGCCTTTGTTATTTCTCACTCATTGAGTATGTTGGGAGTAACCACTCACATCTTAATAAATAAGGGAACCAACTCAGAGTAATTTGCCAGAGACAGCACAGGACTTAGGAATCACCAGTTGAGCAGGGATTTATATCTAGGTTTTGTCTGACCATTCTCTTAACCTTCTCCTTTAACTATGATATCATCTTGCTTGTCTTTATTGTCACAGGGATCTAAGGAGATACAGCGTATGAAGTGTCCAACATGTAGTGTGTGTGTGTGTGTGTGTGTGTGTGTGTGTGTGTGTGTGTGCCGAGTCACTCAGTTGTGTCTGACCCCATGGGTTGTAGCCTGCCAGGCTCCTCTGTCCACAAGATTTCCCAGGCAAAAATACTGGGGTGGGTTGCCATTTCTTTCTCCAGGGTATCTTCCTGACCCAGGGATTGAACGCGTGTCTCCTGCATTGGCAGGCAAATTCCTTACCACCGAGCCACCTTGGAAGCCCCCCAAGCTGTGGTGCTAAATGTTAGGATGATGCTAAATGTCAGTTTCCTTCCTCTCCTCTTCAAGGTCATTCCTGTGCAGTCGCACATTTCCCGCTTTGACACAGACCTTAACTCTCCCTATTGAAACATCTTGGACTCTGTGTTTCAGAGTATATCATTCATTTCCCATTACTATCTTCCCAGAGGGTCCCAAGTTCCCTCTTGCCACAGTTCAGCTTTTTTTGTGGCCATCAAAGTTGCAGTGATAGCTCCATCCCCTTTCTGTTGCTAGAGGCTACAGGTTCTGGTCTCTCCATCATTTCTGCTCTGCTGGGTGTCAAGGGGAAAGTGGCCTCCTTCTCCAGACTTCTGGGCCAGCAAACACACATTTCACATTGGAGCATTGGGGCAGCTTCCATTGTAGGTCATGTGCTTCTGTGCCTGCCAGCAGCAGTGTCCACGGCTGACCTACACCCATCATCCTGCTATGTGCAGTGACCAGGATATAAAGGACAATCTCAGAAAGCCCAGGAAAGGAGAGAGGGAGAGTGGCTAATAACAATTACTTTGATGGTAATAACATTGCCTGATGGCTTGCTAGTGCTAGGCACTTAGAATTAAGTATTTTATTTACTTGCACTGTTTCATCAGATTTCCCCCCACCATAACACTATTCGTTAACACCTTTATTTCTATTGCAGTCACTGTCAGCCCTGAGAACAATGACTGACACATAGAAGAGACTCAGCTCATACTTGGTGTCATAAGTAAGTTGCCTTTTTCACTGAAGCCCGGGGCGTTAAGTAGTTTGCTGAAGGTCACACAGCAAAAGCAGATTTGAACCCAGGGAATCTGTATCTAGAGTTTGTTTTTTCAATCGTTATTCAGTGCAGGTTCCTGTGACAAGAGGCGGTAAGAGAGGCAAGGTAGTGTCAGTAAGCTGAGTCTCAGCGAGTTTGCTGCTGTGTGCCATGCTCCGTGGTGCCTGACTCTTTGTGACCCTATGGACTGTATAGCTCATGGGATTTTCCCAGCAAGAATACCAGAGTGGGTTGCCATTTCCTCCTCTGGGGATCTTCCTGATCCAGGGATCAAAGCCACATCTCCTGCATTACCAGGCTGATTCTTTACCACTGAGACACCAGGCAAGCCCCCTCAGTGAGTTTATCCTGTGATAAAACATAATGGAAGAGAATATGATAAAGCAAATATACGTATAACCGAATCACTTTGCTATACAGCAGAAATTAACACGACATTGTAAGTCAACTATACTCAATGAAAGAAAAATGACACAAGGAGAAAGCAGTCTTCTAGAGCCAAGCAGGAGAGCACAGCCCCTGGCAGGAGGGAAACCTGCTGACACTTTCATCTTGGACTTCTAGCCTCCAGACTGGGAGACAGTGAATTCTGTTGCTTAGCATTCCCAGCCTGAAGCGCTTTGTTATGACAGTGCTAGGACTAACACATGCAGGAGAAAGGGCTTCTGAAGATTCCCTTGCAGCTAGGTGTGGTCAGGTGACACAGTGCAAGCCAATGAAGTGTGAGTATATCAGAGAAAAGGATACTGGAGGATTTCCAAGAAAGTCTTGTGTTCCTGAGAGAGGTGGTTGGTGCCTCTCCTTCACCTGATTTGACCGCAGATTGGATGTTTTGCCTATTTTATGACCACGAGAGAAAGTGCAAGAGAATTGCAGAGATGCCAGCCTTGCTGCCATTTTCCCACCTGTAACTGCTCCCTTCTAGCCCCTTCCTTCCTTAAGCCACACTTCTTAAAGCCCACAGAAGTCAGGGCTTCTGTGACTGACAGCTGAACAAATACACACACTCCTGGAACATGCTTCGTCTTCTACAGAGTGGGTCTGACCAGCTTCATGGGGCTGTTGCACAGAGGAAATGAGATTCTACATAAAATGGTGCTGCAAGTGGAATACCACCACGCCACCATGAGTTATAGTCACAATAAACAAAACCCTCCCCAAAGCTATGATTTCAATTTAGAGCTTTGTTCCCAGCCCTGACTATAAAGCCCTGGGTTGGTTCCCCCCACCAAGGAGCCAGATGGGTTGAAAGACATTTTGTTTCTAGTCTTTCAGCTTGATTGTTATTTAAAGCTGGAAGGAGACCTGGAGATCTTTCCGATCAAACCCTTTATTTTACAGAGGGGGAAACTGGGCCGCAGAGAGGCTGAGTGAGTTGTCTGAGGTCACAGCCCACCTTTTCTGGGCATCAGGAAGCAAGCTGAATCCAGGTTGCTGAAGGGAAGTTAAAGGTGCCAAGAGGAAGAAGGATTTGTCCTGGTCACCACCTTCTCTGAGCCCTTGGAGGAGCAGGCACCATGCTTTAAAAATCAGCAGTGGGAGGACAAGACCTATCTTCTGGGATCTCTGGGCTAGGTTCTTGGGGAGGCTGCAGTGGGTCTGGAATGTCAGTGAGTAGTGGGGGACTGGGAAGAGAGATAAATAAGAATTCATGAGCCTCATTCTTGAATTGAAGGCTCCGGTCTTTGGTGGCACCAGACAGCTGTGGATTCTATTCCTTTTTTTCCATGTTCTAGCCTTACAGGGGAGTGAAATGATTTTAAATCTCCAAGCATTAATTTCTTATGGTGAAAATGAAGATGAGATACACCCCATACAGCTGCTGTGAGAATTTAATAACATGTGTTGACTACAGAGTACAGATTTGATAAATGTCTTTGTGATTCACGAAAGTGATTTTGGATGCTACCTGAATTTTTCTGACATTTGCTCCATCAGATTTATGTATTGGGAAAAATGGGTGCCTTGAATTACTGTGTAATGATAGGCATGTTATTCCACCTCTCTGTGTCTCAGCTTCTGAAAAATGGGACAATAATACTTACCTTACAGGATCATTAAGAAAATTCAATGTCATAATGCATGTATTAATAGGATGCTTATAATGGTACCAGCATACAGGAAGGGCTCAATATAGGGCTGCTTTTATCGTTAATATTGTTATCATTCTGTTACTTTTCAGCAGGAGAATATGATGCAGTTCTTCACTGCAGGGTCTCAGATTCTAAACAGCCCAGATGCCAAGGATGAAGTCCTCGCCAGCTTAGCTGAGACTAGAAATATTGAATAACCTGGGAAGATAGATGGAATGAAAATGATAGTCCTTTTGCAGATTTTTGTAACTGGAGGACTAATAGAAAAAAACGGTTAGCTAACTAATGGTTAGCTGCTAAGAATTAAATGCGTAGCACTTCTTCATTCCTCCTCTTTCTGAGGCCACCTAGCTGCCATGTGACCCTCCTGCTCCCTACTCAAGTCAAGGTGTGCCCAGGCTGCTGTTTCACCTGTTGTCATAATCTGACTTTCCCCGGGATTCACTCTAAGAGCCTTAGCCACAGAAGGACCAATGGGATTCTCAGGCACCGGTAGCATAGCAAAGAGCAGGGCCTGTAAAAATGTGTCTCATGGGCTCAGTCTGTTGGTCTGCTCAGTGATTTAAGAATCAGGAAGCTTTCTTTATAAAGGTCTGTGTTTCAGCAGCCCATGAAAGATACATATAATCTGTCAACAATCAGCTGGAGTTGAGGTCACCTTCTCTCCAGCTCACTATGTCCTGCTCCCCCTTATTGTCTTTCATCTGGCCCACTTCACCCTGGTCCATGACCTGCCTGTTCTGAAGGCATTTACGTTCCCAATCTGTGTTCTCTCATCCCCAAGAGAACACGTTGGGCTGAATCGGCCTCCTCAATGAGGTATACTCCCCGTTGGTGTTGGGTTTGACCAGGTGACTTGTTTGGAAATGGAAAAGTTAGCAGATAGGGATGTAAGAATAAGGCTTAAGTGTGCTTGTGCCATGGGGCTCACTGTGGCTGCCATTGCTGCCATCCTGGGTTAGCATGCCCTAGCCAACTTACAGATGAGTGCATGTGAATTCATGATAGAGGTTTTAGGCTGCTGACAGATGTTGTTTCACAGAAGTAGCTGATGAATACACTGGGTTCTAATAGAAAATCTGCCTCTAATTCTGTGTGACTTTGTTCAAGTTATTTTACTTTCCTGGGCACTGATTTTCTCCCATCTCTAAAATGGGAAGAGCTGGACACAGTTTTTTTTTTTTAAGTACCCACATTTTGGTGATAACTTGTTCCCCAAATCTGCATACATTTGTTAATCCTGAACTCCTAGTTTATCCTCCTCCCCATTGAATATCTAGAAGTTGAAAGTGTTTGCTTTCTGTTTTCAAAGGTAAAAAGAACAAAATGACTTATGCAAATTCTAGGATAAAAGATACATAAAATTTACTCATAGCATACACAACATCAACAAACACAAGAGTGCTTTCCAATATGGACTCTGGTTTCCCACACTGAGGAAATGATGTAAGCTCTTGCCCAGGATGGAACAGTTGGGAGTCTGGTCCAGTTCAGATGTGGTTGGCATCCTTTGTCTTCAGGCAGATGCTGGATCTTCTGGGAGTTACCAGTTACTTAATATTGAAGTGTCTGGCTCGATGATCATTCTTCGTCTTTGCTTAGGTACTTGCTCCAAGTTCTTCTTAGAGTCAATGTTATTGTTGTTAGAGGAGCACTTAACAGAAGATCTATCCTCTTAGCAAATGTGGTAGTGTTCAATACAGTATTGTTAGCATGGCCACTGCGCTGTGCAGGAGATCTCTAGGACTTATTCACCTCATATACCTGAGACTTTGTGCCTTTTGACTGATTCCTTCCCATTTCCTCCTCCCCTGAGCCCCTGGCAACTTGCATCCCACACTCTGCTCCTTTGAGACCACTAGAAGCCTCATATATGTGGTATCATGTAGTCTTTTCCTTCTAGGTCTGGTTTATTTCACTTGTGTATTGTTTTCCAGATTTATATGCTTATTTCCAAATGCATCATTTGTACACATCAAATATGCACAGCTTTAAAAAGTCGAATCTTCATTAGCAAATTTCTGTGAATGATGTGCCCCCTGTGAGTGCCAGCAATTCTATTTCTCTCTGACTCCCAGTCTTCGCCTCTTTCCACTCTTTGGGTGACCCGAACCTATATTCTCTGTGTGTGAGGAGGGTGTGGGAGGGGCAGACAAGCTACGCCAGTGGAATTGGGCATTTAAAATCTTGATGTGAGACTGACTTTCAGTTTGGGTTTCAACATAACACTGACCCACTCCTTTCCAATATATCACCAATAAATAACCTCCAAGAGCAGGAAGGCAAGCACATAGCACTCCTCCCAACCGTGTTCAGCCTCTGTCACGAGATGGCCGAGGCAGACGTTTTTGAATTTTGCATAGTTTTGATCATATTGCTCGTAACATTTTCCCCCAAGATTTTGTATTTTATTGATTCAGGTTAAAAATTTTAGCATAAACAGTAGGCTAGCAAACATAAGTGGAACTTAAGAAGTAGTAATATGCACTCATTGCCAAACAATAGCTCATTTAAATCTTAAAAAAATTTTTTTTAAAGATTTTTTTTTGGACATGGACCATTTTTAAAGTCTTTATTGAATTTGTTGCAATATTGCTTCTGTTGTTTATGTTTTTTGGGGGGAGGGCTGCTGTGAGGTACTGTGGAATTTCACCTCCCTGACCGGGGGTAGAACCCATACCCCCTGCATTGGAAGGTGAAGTCTCAACCACTGGACCACCAGCGAAGTCCCTCATTTAATCTTGGCAACAATAGGTAGATACTATTATTATTAGCATGTTATGAGGAGAAACCAAAACCTTAAGGAGGCTGAATAATTTTCACCCACTCACACATCT